GCGGGGACAGGAAGGGCGGGTGAGGACGCGGCCCGGCCACCCGAGCCTCCCCCCCAGCACAGGCTTCACCCCGCGCAGGACCTGCCCACGCCTCAAGCAGCCACCACCCCCATCCCAGCCCCTTGCGTGCTTTTCTTGGTTCTTTGTGAAGTTATTTACAAAGTTATTTACAAAGAACCACAGGTGCACAGAAATGGATTAAGCGTGATCCTTAGTTTCCTTGGCACACTCTTCTCTTTGGGATGGGCAGGCAAGGCCCTTCCTCCCTTTTTTCCTCCTCCTCTTTCCATCCCTCCCTTCTTTCGCTCTCCTTCCTTTCTTCTTTCCTCCTCCCCTCCCTCAGAGGTTTTCATACTTTTGAACATTTAAAGGGCATTTGAAAACTTATTGTCTGCCTCCCCAACTCGAACACAAGCTGCAAGAAAAAGAGCGAACCCTTTATTTGTGGCCTTACGTGACAGGTACTATTTTAAGCTTTCATGAGTTACTTCATTTAGTCCTCATACAACCTGTGAGCTGTGGACTGTTATTGCCAGTCATTGAGCCAAGAAGGGTACTGAGGCACAGAGAGGTTAAGGAACATGACCAAGGTCACATGGCAACTAAGTGGCAAAGCCAGGACAAGAATCCAGGCTATCTGGCTCCAGAGTCCCGGCTCTTCACATGCTGACTGTGAAGGAAGGCAGCAGGGAGCACAGTGCCTGGAGGTCCTAAAGCTGAATGTATAAGGTTTCTCTAAGAGGTGGACTCATTCTAGAAACAAGAAACGGAGTTTTTTAAAAGTCTCAGTCGTGAAAATATTTTTCAATAATTTTGAGAGGAAAAAGTATTCTTGATACTACACGCACACTAAGTGAAAAAGCAAAAATACAAGTAGTGTTTATCATTCAGGTGATAGAATGATACTTTGGCAGATGACTAGTGGGGTTGTCTCCCCAGCGAGAAAGTGAGCCCCTAAAGGGCAGGATCTATGCCAGTGTGTTCACCACCCTGTTCTCAGGGTTTAGCAGAATACTTGGCAAATAGCCCTCGTTATTACATAGTTTATTGGATGAATAAATGAATGAATGAGGTCTCTAGCAGAGACTGACTGCCGCTCAAATAACAAATCAGGGAGAGAAACAGTCATTAAAGTATTCTGAAGGTTTTTTTAAGTGATAAAAATAGTCTTGTTCATCATAAGTAACCAAAGCAAGAAAACATGTTTCTCAGACTTTTTAAATCAGATCCCTCTAGCTAAGATTTTAAATGTTACCATTCTATAATTTATATCATGGAATAAAATATTTCTTCCTCTTTGGTTTTCCAGATATAAAATTAAGTCATAACATGCTTTTTCAAAAAGCTTGCCTTAGCCCCTGGTGACAGTGTGGCATGACTCTGCATCCCCACCCCCCTCCAAATGGTAGATTTTGCAAAGGGACCATCCAAGTTGTGGACATAAATGAAGGAAAGAATCAGCTCAAAATAGGGTGCTTCAAGCCTCCAATCCATTTTCTGTGGACCGTGTTATTACTTCCTCTTTTAAGTGTAGATGTATTTTTCTTACACTTACTATGCATAACACATGTAAAAGATAATAAACCATAAAAACGGAAACGAAAATTGCACCGACAGTTATACAGGCTGCAGAAAGCCTGCCAGGCCCTGGCACCCACGGGTACGTAGGTCGCTGTGGACAAAGCGTGCTGCATGCAACATGGGCATCCCCGGGGCACTGGTTGGAAGGGCGTCCTCTCGGGGCCCCATCCCTACTGACCCTGGCATGGCTCACAGACCTGTTTGGTTAGCCAGCCGCCTGGTGTGTTTTTTTTTTTTTTCTATTTTTGAAAAGTAAACCTATACGAATAGTATAATGAATACTGATTACCCAGATTCGACAGTTATCAGTTCATGGCTGATCTTGTTTTATTGACACCACCACCGTCTCTTTCCTCCTATATTATTTTCAAGCAAATCCTAAACATCCCATTTCATCTGAAAAAATTTCAGTATGTCTCTCTAAATATTAAAGACTTCTCGTCATGTTGTGTGAGAATATGCTGTTCTCCCAGTTTGTTTGAATGAAGATACAAATAAAGTCCACTCCTTGTCATTGGTCTCTTTTAAGCTGTAGGTTGCCCCTTCATCTCTCCCTCCCTCTCTCCATTTATTTGTTGAATAAACCACCACTTGGTCTTTTAAATTTTTAAAAAATTAGTAGCCAATACCCATGAATCAGATTTCACTTAAACTAGATTTATAGCCTCTCGGAAAATCAGGAGGTCTGGTGACAAGGCCTGAGTCCTGGCATGGCAACAACCCGCTAAAGCTCGCCTCTCCTTCCCCACGGCTCTGAGCTGGCCCCTTTGCCCATCTCAGCCACTTGCTGGGACCTGTGGGCATGTTTTGCCTTAGAGGACGCTTCCCCATAACCTGAGGTCTTGAAGAAGTGGCATTTTCCATGGTGAAAAATCAGAACAGTGGCTGCCTCTGGAGAAAGGGGCCTGACTCAGAAGGGGTGGGCGGGAGCTTTCTTGCATTCTGGACAGGTGTATAAATAAATCTGTCAAAACTCCCTTTAGATCTGTGCATTCATGGCTGGGAAATGATATGTAGGGCCGCGTCCAGATTCCCTAAGAAACCTGTTCTCCCGTCACACCCCCAGAAGTCAAGGCTGAATTGGCTCAACTGCAACCTGCGAATTCAAGAGCTAAGGTCACAAACAAAGCAAGGCAGTGGTTGCTAGGGAGAGGGGAGAATGGGGAATCTGGGTTTCCCTATGGGGTGACTAAAATATTTGGGAACTAGATAGAACTGAATGCCACTGAACTGCACACTTTAAAATGGTTACTTTTATGTTATGTGAATTTTACCTCAAAAAGTAAAAAGAGAAAGTCTCAAATTTCTAGTCCCATGAGTTCTCACCATCTGCATTTCAGTGTTAGTGGCCATCTCCTCTGTTAGAGCCAGGCCCGCACTTGTCTGCCTGCCTCCCCAGTGGACCTGGAGCCCCCTGACGGTGGGCCTGGATCTGATACTTCTGGTCACTTACTGCTTAATAGTGTAGATACTTGAGTGAGTGGATGTGCGAGTGAGTGAATGAGTGAGCAAACACAAGAATGAACAAGTGAATGAATGAGCGAGTGAGCAAATGGACACGGGAATGAAGGAATGAGGAAAGGACTGGATGAATGAGTGAATGAGCAAGTCACTGAGTGAGGGAGTAAGTGAATGAACGTGGGCCAGACCACGGGGGACGGGACACGACCGGGGTGGGTTCCACTCCGGCTTTGCAATCCAAGCCATTTAACCTCTGCGCGCCTCAGTGTCCCCATCTATTCCTCATCATCGGGGGTGGCGAGTTGTCATGAGAAATAAGTGAGTTAAAATGTGTCAGATGCTTAGCACAACACCAGGCAACGCGAGCGGTCGCGTTCGTGAGCGTTAAATACACATCCACTCGCACACAGACCCACTGGTCCGCCCTGCCGCCTTGCAGCGGGGCCTGCGACCTACCGAGCAGCTGCACCTCGTCGGTGATGCCATAGACGTCGATGAGCGCCCAGAGCGGGCCGCCCACGGCCACGCCGCAGTGGAAGAGCACGGGCTCGCCGTCGTTGACGCTGTAGAAGACGCGGCCGTGGCGGTCTGCCCAGTAGGCCAGCACGGTGTCGCGCAGCGCCAGGTTCTCCGGCAGCGCCTTGGCCCAGTAGCCGGGCCGCGTGACGAGGTCGGGGCAGGCGTACTTGGGGATGTCCTGGGCGCTCATGAGCGACGGGTCGTGTGCGGTGAAGCCAAAGCGCAGCGCACCGCTCCAGCCAGGGCGCACGGCCACCAGGCGCAGCCGCACCTGCTCGTACAGCCGGATGGGCCGCTGCGTGAACGTGACCCCGTTGCAGAAGCTGTTGCGCCGCGTGGCCCGGCGCGAGTGGCCGTCCAGTCGCACGTTCTTGCCCTTGGCCTGTGCGTGGAAGCGTGGTGCTTCGCCCAGGACCGGGCGCCGCTCGGGGCCAGGCCCGCAGCACGGCCGGGTGGCCAGGAGGCGTGCCTGCGGGCTCGTGTCTGCGGAAAGAGACAGGCAGGAGGGTTAGGGACCTCGGCACTCTGCGGCCTCGATTCATCTTTTAAATTCCATCATAATTAGACCGATAATTGATAAACTTGAGAAGATTCCAGTCATCCCAATCAGCCCAAAGCTGCCACAGCAAAGTCACTATAACCCCCACTTCACAGACGAGCAACAGAGGCTGTGTGTGTGTGTGTGTGTGTGTGTGTGCGCGCGCGCGCGCGCGCGCACGCGGTGAAGCACTATTCAGAGCTGTTTCACTCCCAGAGGGACCAATACCACTGAGCTTGTCACAAGAGTCAGGCTGGGGTCAGCTGACTTCTCAGTCCCCATCTGATCTTCCTCCAAGGCACTTTGGGGTGTGTGTGTGTGTGTGTGTGTGTGTGTGTGTGTCTGCGCGCGCGCGCGGTGAAGCACTATTCAGCGCTGTTTCACTCCCAGAGGGACCAATACCACTGAGCTTGTCACAAGAGTCAGGCTGGGGTCAGCTGACTTCTCGGTCCCCATCTGATCTTCCTCCAAGGGCCACTTTGGGGCTGCAGAGTCCATCCAAAGGCAACAGTGGCCTTGGATTCTCCGGGAGGGGCGGGTGTCTCTGGCTACTTTCCTCTGTGCAATTTTTGTTCAAAAGCAACGCAGAAACGGCCACAGAGAGAATGCAGGCTCAGAATCCCCTGGCAATAGAATGACAGGCGAGAGCAAGGGTGCAGCCAGGAAGGCCGCTCTCCGGTCCTGCCCGGCCGTGTGATGTGCCGGAGACATCGTCACTCTTCTAGCCTGTTTCCTTGCCTGGAAAACGGGGACACTGCTTAACCCACACATCTGCTAAAAGATCATGTGGATGAAGTTTCTAGAATACTCCCTGGCACAAAGTATGATCATAATACCGAGGTTCCAAGGAGACCCGGGCTAGAGTTCTGTGACTTCCTCTCCTTAATCACAGAAAACGAACACATTCTTTAGAAGCAAGGGGGCTTTTCTAGAACATATACCTTTCAAGATTCATTTCTAAGGGAATTTCCTCCAGAGGACCTGGAGAATTGGATCTGGCTGCTGGCCATGAACCCCGGATGCCTGGTATTGAGGTGAAGGCTTCATCCGTCCCACCTTCCCTCCACCCTCCCAGGGGCAGTTCCCGGGGGCCCCTGGCAGCCTGGGAGGTGGCAGGGTGGGTAATTACTACGCGATTTTCTACTGCTTGTTCATAACGGCAGTGAGCACAGTTTTCATGGCAAGTACTCATTCATGGCAGGCAACCCCTGGCACACAATGGCCTGCAGTCGTGGGAGAAGGATGGCGACCCCAGGGAATGACCCGCCACTGCAGGGGCCACCCCTCCCACACCCAGCCATGGGGTTCGCCGTGCTCTGGGCACATCAGGAGATCCAATTAATACTGAGGCTAACGGGAGCCAGGACAGAAGAAAGGCAAGAGGGAGAGGCAATGACGAGGCAGGGAAGCCACGCCCATTCCCAGGCCCGAGTGGCTGAGGGAGGAAACCGTACTGGGAAGCTGGGGGAGCCTCTTTCCAACAGAAGCCACTGACCCACGGAAGACGAAATACAAGGAACAAAGCCAAGTTCCCACATAAGAAAAAGGAACTTAAGGGACTTGGGTCGCTCACGCATTTGTGAAGTGTCTAATGAGCTCCTGGCATGTGCCAGGCACCGTGCTAGGCACTGGAAATATGGCAGTCATCAAGATAGCTAGGGTGCCTACTCTGATGGGGCCGACATTGCAGACCACCCTGGTGTGGGTGACTACAGAGCCTGGAGGAGGCTCCAGATTCAACCAGGGGCTGGGGACAGAAGGCGATGCCCAGAGCCAGGTCTCGAGGGAGGAAATGGACCATTCCTGGTTGAGGGAACGCTAGGGGTGGGGGTGTGAGAAGCTGGACTTTGTGGGGAGGGTAAGCACCATGGGAGGCGTGGCAGAGGTGTCTGAGGTTGGGCAGCCATTGTCTTGCAGGGAAGAGGGGCTAGGTTGCCATGGACGTCACAGGGACCAGACAGGAAGGCCGTGAATGGCAGCCCAAGAGGCTCAGACCACAGTGGGGGCGGGAGGGGGGAAGAGGAAGCCATGAAGGGCTTCCAGTAGTGCAGGCCAGCACTGCCTGCCAGGCAGCAAGGAGCAGGGCACACAGAGCCAGGCTGCGGCCATCTCTGAAACCATAAAGTAAGAGCAAGGGCCCACTAGAGAGCTATTTCATCAGGACAAAAATGAAATGAGTGGGGAAAATCCCACCAGGCGTAAGCCATCGGGGGAGGTGGCCCAGAGGCTGCAGAGCCCGCGCGTTCTCCAAGCACGCAAGCCGCAGCCTCGTCAAAGCCACCCGCTTCTGGGCTGCAGCCTCCCCCCATGTCCGAGAGGCTGGACTCTCTTCAAGGTCCCCACAGCTGGCAAACTCTCCAGGAAACATTAAATACGACCACAGATCAAAGCCCTTCTGAGCACCAAAGACCATCAGCCACCCTATCTGATCTTCCCGTCACCGCTGCTGTTTTGCCAACTTTATCGCTCGGTCAGAGAGTTTCTGTACCAAGCGACTTGGGACTCGTAAGCAGATGTTCTTTCAGGGTGGACTCAAGATTTAAATAAAAACTAGGGTGGGGAGAAATACTGCTTTATTACTATAAGAGGAAGTTTCTCGCAAAACCACCTATATGTTAGAATGAAATGCAGCCAAGCGACCAGCAGAGTTTCCATCTTTGTTTAATTTTGATTCTATGATCCAACTTCCCACAGGGAGTGAGGGATAAACACTATTTTTGACCCCTCTGAGGCCAAAGCTCTGATGTGAGTTAAAGAAAACCAGAGTGAAGAAGTTCCTAAGAGGACGTGTTATTTACACAAATCGAAAACGCTTAAAATACAACAACAATAAGCGTCTTCCAAATTGCACACCAACATCTGCTTTTAGCTCGGCTCAGGGAGAAGGAACAGAATCACGTGGACACGGACCCCGGGCCCCACCACAGAACATCCTAGTGCGGGAGATGTCAACCGAAAACCTGAACGTTAGCATTTAAATTACTGCGATAAACACGGCAGCCTCATTATAGAAAGTTTGGAAAGAAGAGACATTATTCCTCCCACTTTCACAGCCTAACATGCATTTTCACGGTCCCTGGCCCGGCCCTGATCCGTGTAGGAACCACGGCTGTGCCCTCACTGTGTGCCATGTCTAGTGCTGCATGTTGCCCATATGTGATTGTAGCTAATCTCAAATTCTCAAAATGTATCTTCACCTACAGGATTGTCTCCATTTTCCAGGAGAAACATCAAATTCTCAAAATGTATCTTCACCTACAGGATTAATTGTCTCCATTTTCCAGGAGAAAAAAGGCTCCAGGCAGCAGAGGCCCTTGAGATGGGAATCCAGCAACGTCTGACCCCAGCCCAGTGCTCTCCTCTCTCCCACGACTAGCATGGAAGTACTAACTCGATAGTACTAAGAACTTTGTCTAACTTCGCTGCAATCAGAGCACACATCCAAAGGCTTCCTGCCTTTTTTCTAACTCGACATTACACAAAAAGCATTTCCCACATGGCTCCCAAGTATTCACTTTGCTTATGTTTTGTGGCTACAGAACATTCCATCAAGGGCCAAAATGTCCCCCACCGTTCCCCTCCTGGATGGAGATCACTTGAGCTGTCCCCCAAATGGCTCAGTCTATGGGCACAGAGCTTCCGGGCTGCTGGAGCCAGGAACAGATTCAAATGAACACACCCCATCACCGGCGAGAAAACCTCCTGGCAGGAAGAGGCTCCACACCATGCCGGGGACCAGACCCCCATGCCCCTTTTCTTCCATGCGGGGCTGAGGACCCGCCGGCCTTGTGGGGGTGCCGTCCCCCACCAGTGAGCCCCCTCATCTTCGGGCCAGGAATTGGGCAGGGCGGAGGTGGGGTGGGGACCGTGGACAGCTCTGCAGGGGTCCATCCCACACACAGCAGGGAGGAGGGGCAGTTCTGGCCCAACCTGGATAACCGGAGGCTGCTCCAGCCCTGCCAACACCAAAGCGGAGGGTCTTCCCAGCCCTTAGCCAAGGAAGCAACACTCGAACTCTAAACATATGGGCAGAGATATTGGGGGGTGGCTGATGAGTGGCTGTGGATGGTTAGGGAGGAGGAGACTCTGTTCTAAGTAAACATTGCCACCACTCGGCCTTGGGCAAGTCCTTCAGGAAGACAGGTGGACACGAGGGCCGCTGCTGGGTGGGTCTGGGGTTCATTGGCATCGGCGCTTCAGAACGACCGTCCCTGAGGGCTCTGGGTTCGAACCTGGGCTTTGCTGCTAATTTCTCAGAGGGCCCTTGGGTTAGTCATGTCGCCTTCCAAATGCGGAGGTTTTTCATTTTGAAATGGTGCATGACCCCAGCCCCCCATGTCAGGCTGCCGGGAGGGGCGCTGAGAGCACAGGGAGATCCTAGCGGAAGTCCTGGCACGTAGTAGATGTTCATTAAATGTTCGTTACATTCCCCGTGGGGAACATCAGGTCAGCCCCTGGTGTTCACCTCCGTCTCTCTAGCGTTTATTTTCTAAATCTCAGTTTGAGAGGTGGTTAGAAACAGCACAGGCTTGGAGTCAGACAGACTCAGGTTTAAATTCCGGTTTTGTCATATCTTAGCTACGTGATCTTGAGGTACATACTTAACTTCTCTGGCCCCCGCAAACAGACCTAGAAAACTGGTAAGATTCATCCATATGCTGCAAGACTGCTGTGAGGCCGAACGAAGCCAAACCAGACACACTAGGTACATGGCACATAGTAGGTGTTCACTAAACACTTGGTTCCTTTATTTTGACCTCCTCATTTAGTTCCTTTGACGAGAAAAGGCTTATCCCTGGACTTGGTTCCTTTATTTTGACCTCCTCATTTAGTTCTTTTGACGAGAAAAGGCTTATCAGAGATGTCTACCTATGAGTCTGAGGCAATACATCCTGAAATGTGTTTTCTATGGAGGGCTGGTGACCTTGGCCAGAAAAAGTCCTTT